ATGGCTTATAGTCAATTCGCTTAATTGGAATGTTGAGAGCAGACCCATATTTATCGTCAAGAGGTGCAGAGTCGTTCCCAAATGTTACAAATTATATAGTTTTTACCATAATATAATGAATTACAAATACTTGCCGAAATTAGAGGTGGAAAGTGCATTAGACCAAGCCCAACAAGAAATGTTTCCAGAAACGAGAACATTTATTGAATTTGCATTAACATTTGCTGCAACACTTTGCAATTTTTTTAATATTCTTAGTCCATTGAATGTGACTTATTAAATCATAAGCTCATAGTGAGTGGCCGGTCCTTGAATTGTTATGTCGGAATACACTCCTGCCACCATGTTTTGCTCATGGTATATTCGTTGCAATGTATAAACTTTTATAATTAGCATATCATTATATTTTCATCTTAGTTATTTCTCTTTGTTTATTTAATTCTTATTGTTATTACTAATGAATACGAATATAAAATGAAATTAGGTAGGAACATTCAAGAATGGTTATTTTAAACAATTAGATTAATAAATGTACTTTATACAATCAAACCATCCTAAGTGCAAGTCGTAGGGACCAGACTTTTGATACTTTGCATTTAGAAAACAATAAGAAAAATTGTATTTATAGGAGTCTGGTATATATTGTACCGCAGTTAAAAGTTGCATTTAGAGAGGTCTGGCTGTACTTACTTTCTAAATCAATGTGAATAAAATAAAAAAGTTTATTATACACCTAGAATAATAAATGCTTTTTATAATTATTAACTGTTAAGCTAACATGAATAATATAGTAGACATTCATAAGCTTAAATAGCTTACTTGTTTTAAATACAGAGTGTCGCTAATATAAGTTGCCAAATTTTAGATATATGTTATAACTTATACACTCTAATTGAATAATATAAATATTAGAATATAAACCAACATTTAATGAAGTTTTTTTCAATCATATTGGCCAGAATTATACTGATTCTAAATTAAATTGTAATTTTATTGGTTAATTTAAAAAGATTTAGCACTATAAAATTTAATTCACTAAAAAATAAACTTCATAACTTTATTCTATAAAAAGATTTTACTTGTAAATATTTTAAAGAAAATTTATTAGTTTACACACAGAGTTTATACACGGGTATAATTTATTGAATTACATATTCGCGCAACATACTAATCAAACCAATTTTTACAAGCGAAAAAGTAAACCCTCGCTTAAGGTTAGGGTAAAGGTTGGTTTGGGATTGGGCAAGATATATTTTATGCCAAAATTTCGCAAGGAATTTTTTTGTTAGGAGCCAAAAGGTGGTTTCATAAACAAAATTTTGAGATATCTATATTGCCCTTGTAAATACACCCGTGTACAAATAGAAATTGCCTATTGTGAATATCTATTTATAACCTTTAAAATCTATTTATAAGCTTAAAAATTATGTATCCTATTTGCTGGTTTAAGGATTTCTGCATTATGCTTAAGTTAATAAACATAAGTATCAGGGAATGATAAACTGATCGTCAGAGAAATGAAAATATCAAAAAAATGAGCGTCAGGAAAGCAATTGTACAAGTAACAAAGAAATGTCAAAAAAATAAGTACAGCATGTGAAAAACAGAAAGTTTAAACAGAGGTCACTGTGAAATAAATATCATTCTATATCTAAATTTGTTTTCATCTGACAACATTCAATGATTGTAGCCTAACTTGAGCTTGAATAGACTATCTATAACAATCAAATGTAAATACTTACCGTAAATAATGAAAAGTATGAGTAATAATAAAACCACGAGTACTGACTAAAGTAATATGAATAAAATATAATGATCGATAAGTATTTATTGTGACGCAGAAAAATACTTCTATTACAAGTGTCAAACGATTTTGGATCTCAAAGGATTTTTCGATGTAATAAAATAGGGATATTATCCTGCTTCATGTAACATAAAATAGTTTTTCAAATAACGTTAAAAATAGATTTTCTTAATTTCTTGTACTAAGTAGCTTTATTCAAAAGGAGATATAACAAGATTGATTAGTAATAAAGAATTAAAAAACCATTTTCGAAATAAATAATTGCATCCAGTTTTATAAACAGAGCGTTAAAATGATATAATATCTACTTCATATTGAGCTAAATTACTGACTGCCATTTTGAACCCTACTGCCATTAATGAATGGGTTTAATTAGTCACATATCGAAAAGTAATCAAACATTTGAACTTCCCTATACGTAACGATAATTTTACATACGGTAATTTCACATTTGACCGGAATCATTACAGGTTTTGCAGATCAAATCTAAATTAAGATTGTTTTCATGCTCCTGCTTCTTCCATGTGATTGAAATGATGCATCGTTATAATCGATTGAAATAATTGAATCGATTGAAATTTTCGTGCATTGTCTTAAAAATCGCAACTATTAAGAAATCGCAACTATTAAGAAATCGCAACTATTAAGATGACAACAAAATTTTTTGAAAAACTTTCAAATGATTATACAGAACTTCTTAATGACAAAGAAGACTTTAATGTAACTATTAATGTTGGTAAATCTTCTGATGCTAAAATATTCCAAGCACATTCTGCTATTTTAAGATACCGATCGTTATATTTTCGTAATGAACTGACAAATACCGTTAAAGATAAAAATGGAATTAAATCAATTAATTTGGATCAAGTTTCTGTTCAACAATTTGGCATTATTATGAAGTAAGTCATAATTCAATTCTTAAATTTATCTTAAATTTATAATATATATTTTTAAATTTGTTAACTTTATTAATTTGGTATAAAGATATATATACGGAGGTGTGGTATTTTTACAAGATTTTGATGCAACATTTACCTTTAAGCTTATGCTCATTGCTTGCGAGTTCCTTCTTGAAGAATTGGCTAAATATATTGAAACTCATTTAATTGAGACAAAAGCTCATTGGCTAAGTTCGAATTTTACTTACGTTTATCAAGAAAGTTTTAAAAATGATACACTTCAAGAATTACAAAAATGGAGCAATGATATTGTGGCAAAATATCCTTATAAAATTTTTGACTCAGATGATTTTACCACACTTAATGAAAACGCATTAGTATCACTTATCAGAAGAGATGATTTACAAATGGAAGAAATAAAGATCTGGAGTTATATTATCAAGTGGGGAATTGCTCAAAATACAAACTTACCAACAGATTCTAAAGCGTGGACTCTTGAAAACTTTCAAACATTAAAGACTACCTTACAAAAGTGTTTGCCACTTATTAGATATTTTCAAATATCTGGGGATGACATGTATGATCATGTATATCCGTATAAACAGATTCTTGAAAAAAACCTTTGGAAAGATATAAAGAAGCGATTTATGTCACCAAATAGACCTGTATCATCGAAAATTCTTCCACCTCGCACTATCACGGCACAAACATTACTACTACGAACAACTGGACCATTTTCAACTGTTATTAACGAAGCACATGCTGCTGAAATTGCTTCATGGATTGATAGAAAAGAAGATACATATTCTATAGCAAATAATCCGTACGAATTTAATTTACTTCTTCGTGGAAGTAGAGATGATTTTACTAAAGATTCTTTTTGGAATTTATGTGACAAGAAAACAAATCTTGTTGTGGTTATGAACGTTAAAGGTACTGATGAAATTCTTGGTGGATATAATCCTATTGGGTGGGATAGAAAAATCACAGGTATTAAGAATTGTAAAGACAGTTTTACTTTTTCATTGAAAAATGGTACCATTCAAAATTCTATTTTAAGTCGCGTGAAAAGTCCAGCTAATGCAATTTATTCTGATTCTGATCGCGGTCCAATATTTTGTACTAGTCTTTATATGAGAGATAATTTTAACTTAGATAATCAATGTTATTGTTATCATAATACCCACAATACCAGCTTCGTTTATTATACAAATCAAATTAGAAACCCGCCATCTTATATTAGTTTTTGTTCTTATTTTTCTGTAGATGAGTATGAAATTTTTCAGATTCGTAAAAAAATATTATAACTTTCTATATCATCTATAGCATATATAGTTAAGTCAAGTTTTTCATTAAAATTCTAGTCAAACATCAATAAATATAATAACTGCTTAAAAATTTGATGGCAGATTTATACAATTTTAAAATGATGAATAGCTATCGCTATATATAGAGATGGGCACGCGCGGGATCCGCACGTGATCCCAAATAAAATTATCTGGCCGGCATTACCATACCATCTGGCTAGCATTAACATATCATCTGGCTAGCATTAACATAATACATGGCTTGCATTAATATAATTACGTAGTAATTGACATGCTTCATCATAATATAGATACGTGAATTTCTATATAGAATTTATTTATTTTATTTTTTAATGTTAAATTTATTTATTTCGCATATGCATATATATTTAATAAGAATTTATCTTTTTGCCGTTAGTATCTGTTAACTGCAGACGATCGATCATCACAAAATCAAAATTTCCTAAATTTTCTTTTTTTTTTTTTTTTTTGATTATTTCTTGTTTCAACTAAAGATTCCAAATCCTCCTTTTATTTTCGCTTTCTAATACTTCATCTAGTAATATGCAAGAGTTGGTTGTTTCTATAACTGAATAACAACGGGAATCTCATGCTTTTTTTTTGAATCAAACTAAATAATTGAATAAAAAAATTGACAAAAAAATCTTTTTTAAGCCGTAATTGAATAATATAAAATTAGTGTTTTCATTATTTATACTTCTTTGAAACTTTAACTGAATAATATTAAAAATCCTGTTTTTTTTTCTTATTACTAACTATGAAGAAAATTTTGAAACTAAAACATTCGATTACTAAATGGATTACATTCGATAGACTAATATTAAAAATTAATAAAAGAAAATTTTGTTCTGTATCTTCTGCAACCTAATCGAATGGTATGCAAAATATCAATGTCAAATGAGGGTTCAAAAAATTTCGTGATAATTATTGTCGCATAAATTTATCTAACATCGTTGGCACTTAAGTCCTTAACTCTTCTATTGCAAGTTGAAAGTTACTAAATTTTAGAAGTTAATGCACTGTTTTTCGAGAATTTTGTTGCTACCTTTACCTTTCAAAACTAATTTAATTATTCCAAATATTTAAATCATTATTTTCGCAAAAAGTTTTATTATTGTCATGCTTGAAGTTAATACCCACCTGATATACAATTAGAATCGTAATTAACTGACTGAAGGTAGCCTCTGAAAGTAGATCTTTTGCACATATCAGCTGGTAATTTTAGGCAGGTGTAACTCAATGCTTAAAT